CAAAAAAAAAAAAAAAAAAAAAATCCCCCCCTAGTACTGGAGATTGAACCCAGGATTTTTACTCCGAGCTACATCTCCAGCTCTTTATTTATTTATTTTTTTCTTATTCAGTTTACTGGTACTTTTAAAGTAGTCAGTACAGTTACATTTATCATTTGGATCTGTACCTTTACATGACAGGTCTTGGTTCTCATTTTTTCCCCATACCCCTGCCCTCCGTTCACCCCCTCCACCCTCCCCTATTTACAAAGACTCTGTTTCCATTTTTTCCTTTTCTCATATTTTTTTCTTTTCCCTTATTTCCTTTCCCCTTATTTCCTTCCCACTTCCCCTACACCTTTAGCCCTTTTCTTCCTATTTCACATTGTCAATTATAAAAAATATGGAATGCTTCACGGATTTGCGTGTCACCCTTGCACAAGGGCCATGCTAATCTTCTCTGTATCGTTCCAATGTTAGCATATGTGCTGCCGAAGAAGCACTCTTATTTTTAAAATTTTTAACATTTTGAGACAAGGTCTCATTAAATTGCTGAGTTGCCCAGGTTAGGCTCAAACATGAGACTCTCCTAACTCAGCTTCCCAGGGTGCTGGGATGACAGACATGTGCCACCACACCAGGCTCATTCATAACTTTTTTTTTTTTTAGTGTTTTGGAAAGAGGGTCTCATTCTGCAATTCAGGCTGATCTTGAACTCACTATGTAGCCCAGGCTGGCCTCAAACTTTCAGTGATCCTCCTGCCTCAACCTCCCAAGCGCTGGAATTACAGGTATGTGCCACCATGGCCGACTCATTCATAATTTTTTTTTAAAGTTATACCTTCATAGTTGAAGATATCACCAGAGAGGTCATCAGAATCCTGCCTTCTGGACCCTGAAACACAAAACATCTGTGTTAGGGAAGCTGGGATGGACACAGGACCTGTGGCCTAGCAGGGGCTGAGTCTACAATGGCCCACTGAGGGAGTGTCACCTGTAGGGAAAGGTGTGACCACATTACCTCCCAGTCCTAACGGGCTCTAGACCACTTACACACTGAACGAACAACTCCCTCAGTGAGGTAGGCCCTCCTGTCACCTCAGCTTACTATGGAAACTAATCCCAGCCCATTTCTTCTGCAAGCTGGAAAAGAGGCACACACCACTGTGCAAGTAAGGAAGACAGGTTTGTTCACATTTTCTGACACAGCCAGAAATTTCACTCTCCTAGAGAAATTTTCTTCTGAAACAGGATGAAAACCAGTCACCATGCCAGGGCTCCAAGGCTTTGGATGACTTTGGAGAGGCCAGCAGGGGAATAAACTGTGGTCCCAGGCAGAGCAATGCCAGGATACTCACAAGTGCAAAGGCCTAACTCTGGCATTCTGCAAGCCAGCCACAGAACTTAAACGCCCACTTTAGCTGGGCCCTGCTGGCAGAGTCAGAGGCCTGGGGCCCAGACTGCAGCCAGACCGGCTGTCTGAGCAGGCTCACCCTTGGAGGGGCTGGGGTGGAACCTGTCATCCCTCCCTGTGTGGAAATCACTGCCTGGGGCTGGCCCTCTTGGGTGCACGTGTGACTAGCTGTGTGTGGGGCCACTCACCCAGGCTCCTGCTGCAGAGTCCTTTAAGCATAAAGGAGGAGTGGGGCGGCTGCTGTCAGCACTACAAAGCAAGCTAACACAAAGCTCGAGATCAAGAACTGCAGCGACGGAGACAGGGTGGCAGAGGACAGAGGACTTTTAGCAGAGGAAGGGAGACAGCAATGCAACAAGGAGCAAAGAAAGTGGGGTGGGAAATGGAGAGAGCATGGCAGGCAGAGGCCTGAGACACAGGAGCAGTGACACCATCCTCCAGGAAGCCAGGCAGCTTCGAGGCACCGGAGAAGCCCCGGCCTTCTTGGCAGGTGGACAAGGGGACTCCTGGGCACCAGGGTGCTAAAGCGAGAAGCTGGCTGAACCAAGAAACAGAATCCCTTTACAACGCCCAGATTACAGGTCTTTCCATTACCACCTGGGCAGCCCTCATTCGACGGGGGTCTTAAAGAACCTACCACTCGGAACAGAGGACTCTGCTCCACTCCTTCTGGTGCCCGTGCGATCCATGGTATTCTCTGCAAGGGGACAAATCAACAGGACAGTTAGAAAAGCACCTCCAGAGCTGCTGAAGAGAGACGACTGTGTCTGAGCAGCTGAGCCAGTCTAGTGGGCCTGGTTCCTCCCAGGCAGCTCCCATCGCTCCTGCACGTGGCCTTCAGCACACATGCTGAGCCTCGCAAGCCTGTTCCACTTGAAAATGAGGAATCCAGACCGACTCTGAGGGTTAACCCGAGAGCAACTAGCAGGCAATCCAAGTACACGTGCCAAGTGCCTCTAAACGACAGAGGGCTTCCAGGGCCGAATAATCTGTTCAATTATATCTACTGAAAAAACTGAAAAGGGGTGCCCCACAGTGTCAATGTGCTTGATGTCATTAAACTGAACGCTTACGAGGTTACAACGTCAGTTTGTTTTTGGTACCGGGGATCCAACTCGGAATCTTGTGCTCGCGAGGCCCACAGCAGTCAGTTTTATGTGATGGTGAGGCAGGGAGTGGACAGGCTGGCTGGTGTGGAACGGTCCAGGGGGCCAGGACTGGCTTAACCTGATACCATTCGACAGTCATCTCCCAAACCGGCTGCCCTGGTTCCACAGCTCTTCATCAGCCGTCTTCCAGCAGCGTGGCTGAGGCCTGCCTATGTGGACCCAGGTCAGGCCAGCGATGGGAATGTCTGGTCCCTGGGGTGGCTCTAGTCTCATTAAAAATTAATAAAAGCCATCCTTTTCCTCTTTTGACCTCCCCTGGAGTTTCCTGCCCAGGAGAGAACGCTGTGGCACAGGACTTGGGGACCTGCTGCTTGGCCATTTTCAGCTCTCGTCATGAGCTCCTGTGAGAAGGTCTCAAGGGACACAGCCAGATGCCCACAAATAAGCTTTCTGAGCTCTCATGGCTGAGGCCAGGATCTGGACCACCTCTAGGGAGAGCAAACACCTGCTTTCTCCCAGAAAAATGTAACCCACCTCCCATAGCAACACCCATCTTATGTTCATGTCCTGGTGGGGGGGGGGAACAATGTCTCCTGACTCTTCCCCCAACACTGAGCTGTAACTGATGATGGGAAAATACAACAAATGATATTTTCCTCAGTTACCATCTTGACAGCTGTCCCTGAAGGTGAGAGATTGGCCTGTCTGATCTAAAACCCTTGCCTGTCCCTTGGCTGTACAGGCACTGCTGAGACAAAAGCAAGTTGCTCCTAGAGGTGCTGTCTCTGCTGGGCTATGTGCCCTGCACTGCTTTAGACCTGGGTCGCACCAGAGCCACTGCTGTCACTTGTTTCCATACAACTCAAATAAGCTTAGCTTAAAGCCCGGTAGACAGAGTCTGTAAGCCAGTGAGTGAGCAGAGAAACCACACTCCAAAGTGGGCAGGCTCGCACGGTGATAGTGGCTGGGGAGAAAACAGAATCCCCGCTTAGGAGTCACCTCAATGCCAGTCATCAAGAGCTGCACGAAGCCACACACTAATGCCAGGTCAGTGCCACTGAAAATCTTACAAGAGGCTTTGGACAGCCCCACCTCGGGACACCAGGGAAGGGTAAGGCCCTCCCACCGTTAGTCGTCTCTCAGGAGTTCTGTGTGCTGGGGTCAGAGCGCAGGAGGGCGGGTGGAGGCTTCCAGTTTTGATTTAAACTGTCAGGCTGTCAGAGTCAACATCATCTTGATTCCACAGAGTCCTCCCTGTGCAAATGAAGATGGATCCAGGGCACATGTTCCAGTGTTAACTTGAGTTGTAATCTGGCTACATGAGCTTTTCAGGTCATTTGTCCCAGAGGTAAAAATAGCCCAAAATGACCAGGGACCAAAAGGCAGCTTGTGGAAAGGGATCCGGGGGCCTTGTGCACAGAAGTGGGGAAGAGAGGCTGGCCTCCTTTTCTGGAAAGAGAGGAGGGCTGTGAAACCATGGTGTGGCTGCAGGGACCTAACACTGAGCCTGTTTCTTCTGCTTTTGGAAACCTCTCCCGGGTTCTACTGTGAAGAACCTGCGCACGAAGGAGGCCACCTTTAATCAGTAACTCCCCGAACAGGAAAATTTCCCAAACTACCACGGTCTTACCTGTGACACCAGCACATTTCTCAAGACACTCCTCCTTGCTCTGGTAATTATTGTCATTTCCGTCACAGCCTCCATACACAAACAGCTGACAGGACCCATCGGTGACATTGTACCACCATCTAGGAATGGAGGCGCGGCATCTCCCCACTACCTGTGAAGCTTGGCAAAAGTCTGCAACACAAAGCAGAACGCAGCTGGCTCAGTAGGGTGACCTCGGGATCCAAGGTCATCCACCCACCTGTGGGAAGAGGACCACGGTCTTCCAAATCTCTAAGAGAACAACCAAAGTCCTGAGATCAGCCAGTTCTGAGACAGCACAGAAGGACCCAGCACGCCTCGAGGTATTTTCCCTCTACGGCTGCCCAGAAGCCTTGCGGTGCCTCAGTTGCCCCACGCTGCCTTGGCGGTAGCTGACTTCAGACTCGGACCCATCCCAGATGACCCTGCCCTGTCTCTCTCTGGATGGCTCTGCCCTTGGCAGCCCTCCTCAGTTCGGTCCACACGGGGCCCTGGCTGCCCATCAACACTGCCACGTGCAAGTCCACCTTTGTCCCTATATAATCAATGTCCCCATACCCGTGGCGGGTTCAGTCTGCGTGCTGATCCCTTTTATTCTACGGCATAAGTCCTAAGAAAGCCTCTTTTAGATGACGAATCTTCGCCTAGCTGTGACTTCTATCTTGAGTAGCTCATGCAGAACTGTTATACTGGGGACTGCTAACACTAAGGCAGCCACAGGAGAATGGAGTAAGGAGCACTGCTCGGAGCTGCCACCCCTGGTGGCCGGAGTTCCCCATACCTGTGGGGTGGCTGCTGGCTCTGAGCCGGCGACACCCAGACAGCTCACAGCTGCTGGCGTTCAAAGCTCAGGGCTGGGAACATGAATAAAACTTCACTTTCCCAATTCTGGATTTCTTCATGAATTGAGCAAAAACTCTCAGCTACCTGTAAACATCTTGGCAGCTGACATACCGTATAGCCCCTCCCCTTTAGAGGGCCCAGAAGAGGGCAGAGGACAGTGACCGTTGTCATCAGGCTCAAGAATCAGCCTATCCCCGATTTCCATCTTACAAGTGGCTGAATAGAGGACTTGCCATGGGGTTCGAGCCCCAGTTTCATAAAAAAAAAAAAGAAGTGGCTGTGAATACACAAGCGCTGCTGACAGATCCTCTGCGAGCTGTTTCCAAAGTCTGCTTGAGGATTCCTTTCTGGTACAGGAAAGAGACTCATTATCCAGCTGCAAGAGTCCAACCTGCTCCAACTGTGTTTCAGCTGCACAGTGGTTCTGTCCCTCCACCCAGAAAAGACTCACATAACCGGTACAGACACAATGACTTTCAAAGGCCCAAACAGACGCCAGGACTCTTCTGCACGCTGCTCCATTCGACCAGGCCAGGGAGCACTGAGCACCGCGATGCCAGAGTCAGAGAAGCACAGTGGGGAAGGAGGGTGCTGTCAGCACCTCACAAATGCAACTTTCCCAAGCTTTCCCCACCTAGCAGACCACTTCAATCCCAAATCACAAGAGCCCCAGAAACAGGTTTCCTAATGCCACGTCTCCCACCCCCAGGCAATGCTGTTCACACCTCTGCTCCAGAACTCTGATGGCTCCCAACTGAGCACCTGAGATGGACCTGGATTTCAGGAAGTCCCTGAATCTGGCCTGCTCTAAGCAAAGGGAAACAATGTTACAAATCCTGCAGACACATTTCTAAGTAAAAGGTCCAAGGCTGGCCTCTCCCTTCCGGACTTGTTTGAACCAAAGGAGCCTTTCTCCTGGAGGACTCCAGTGTCTGAAAGCCCCTGAAAGGGAATAACCTGAGCATGGGACTCCTTATCTGCCCTTGCACTCCAGCCCTGAAGGATCCTAACCTGCACAGGGCGCTAGAGAAGCAGGAGTCAAATACAAGTATGCTACAGCCACATGCTGGCTAGGTTTTCCTTTACTACTAATTGTTTCAGGCCTGTTAGGTTATTTTACCAAGTGGGGATAGTCTGGTCTGTCTCCCAAAACACAACACAGCCATGGGCACGAAACCAGATGTTTCTCAAATCAACAATCTATGGCTGCAAAAAGGTTGCTACTTGTGCAAAACAAGCAAACAGCCTCTCCCCAGAGGCTCCCGCCCAGGCCAGCAAATCCCAGGTATCTGCACAGCAGAAAAGGCGAATTCTGAAGCAGGAAGTTCTGAAAGCAATCAGTCATCCATTATCACTAGTTTAAAAGTTCCTTATTTGAATGATTCATAAGAGTTCAATCATACATGTCCAGAAAAGCCAGGTCAACTCAGACAGGAAGTGGATTAGACATTGTGGGATGCTAGGGGTGCTGGGGGGTGGAGACAGAGTCAGCGAAGGGACACAAGAATTGTTGGGGGATGATGGAAATGTTCTAAAATTGGGCTGTAATAATTGCTGCACAATTCTATAAAAAATCTTTCAATTGTATACTTAAAATTAGTGGGTTTTTTTGTTGTTTATTTTGTTTTTGTTTTTATGACTGGGTCTTACTTTACTATATTGTCTGGGCTGTCCTCCAACTCAAAATCCTCCTGCCTTGGGCTCCTAAGAAATTACGATTACAAGCATGTGCCCCTGTACCCAGCTCAGTTTGTAAATTAAAAAAAATAGGAGTTGGGTACAGTGTCACCCACCTGTAGTCCCAGCTATGAGTAAGTTCGAGGCAGGAGCATCACTTGAGGCCATGAGTTCAAGGCCACCCTGGGTAGCATGGTAGGATTGGGCACCTTCTGCTCATAGTAAATCAGCCAGAATCAGCTGGTGTACAACTTGTGACAATGTGCCAAAGGTCACAAACACACAATGCACAGGTCCAGGGAAGACCTGCAGTACAGAGTCCTCCGGTGTGTGATTTAGCCCACCCACACAGCTCTTCAATTCCAGAGGCAACTGCTGCTAACATGACAAGATCAGAGCCAGGGATGTAGCTAGGAGGTAGAGTGTTTGCCAAGTATGCACAATTACCACCCCCGCAAAAATACCCCAAGATCAAAAGGACCCACAGTGGAGGTTCACACCTGAAAGCCCAGCACTGGGGAGGCTGAGCAGGAGTCATGAGTTGGAGGTCAGCCCTACCTACACAGCAAGACCTTGCCTCAAAAACAAACGGCTGGGCATGGGGCTGCAAATCTGTCATCCCAACACTCGGGAGACTGAGGCAGGAAGACTGCCATGAGTTTGAAGGCTTGGATACATAGTGAGTTCAAGACCAGCCTCAACTAGAAAAGAAAAAACAAAAACAAAAAACACCAAACAAACAATAAAGGAGGATTCACTGGAACCAGTTTGCTCCCAAACATCCAGGTGGGGAGCACTACTGGCCACAGAGGCATCACTGGCCTGATGTTTTGCAAAGCTGAAAGCCCTGGTGGTCATTCTGACTTGTGTTTCTGCTTCCTGAACATTTTCTGGTACAACTTACAATAAAAAAGGAGGAACCGGGTCCATCTTAAATGGGGAAGTATACAGTATGTGAACGACATTGCAAAACAAAGACCAAAAAGCCAAAGGAAGGCCCAACAAACCTAAGTGCAGTTTTAGGGAACCACTTGACGGCCCAGCAGAGAATGACAATGGCAGAATCTGGTGGCTTTTTGGAACCAACAATGCCAGATCCCTGTATACGCTGGGACAGAAGTCTGAGGAGTGTAAGAAAGAGGCCCTCTCTATTGAAGGTGAGGGACTCTCACCACCCAGAATCCAACCCTCATCTAACAGGCTCAGCCCTGCGGTGCTGGTGAGAAGGCGCAGCTGCTGGCAGAGCTAACAAAGAAAGTACACAGGAGGAGAGGAAACCTGAGCCCCAGCCCATCAGTTTACAGTGAGGAAACCCACTGCCAGCAAACCATTTGGGAGAGCAAGCTCAAAGGCAGCAGGTCCTTGGAGTGACAGTGAGGAGAGTTCACTGAGCTGAGGCTCACAAGGGTCAGCTCCGGACAGCCTTCCAGTGGCCGGGTGTCCCTGCCCGACTGAAACTCCTACTCTTCTATTTATTTTTTTGTGGTGCTGGGTTTGAACCCTAGGCTCTGTATATGCTAGGCAAGCACTCTTTCTTTATGCTAGATATCCCCAGCCCTAGAAGTCTTTTCTTCTCTTTTTTTTTCCTCCTTCCTTTCTTTCCCAGCTCTAGAGATTAAACCCAGGGCCCTTGTACTGAGCTAGATCCAAAGCCGTTTTTGTTTTTTTCTTTTTGGTCTCTTCAGACAGTATCTTGCTATATAATTCAAGCTGGCCTTGAATTCACTATAAAGTCCAGGCGGGCTTCAAACTCACAGTGATCCTCCTGCCTCAGCCTCCCTAGTGCTGGGATTACAGGTGTGTACCATGCCTGGCCTTTTCTTCTTGAGACAGTGTCTTGCTTAGTTGCCACGCTGGGCTTATATTTGCAATTCTGCAGCCTCAGTCTCTCAGAGTGCTGGAATTACAGGTGTGCAGCACCATTCGGGCTGGCACTTTCGTCACGGGAGGGTGAGGCAGGAGGATCGCTGTTTCAGTCCAGCCTGGACTAAATAGTGAGTTCAAGGCCAGCTTGTTTTTGTTGTTGTTGTTGTTTTGGTACCTGGGATCAAACTTGGGTCCTTGTGCTTGCGAGGCAGGTGGCGGCACCACTGTAAATCCCTGGCCCTAGCTTAAACTACATAGTGAGACCCTGTCTCAAAAAATGAACAAACACTAGAAAAAGCTCCTAACGTGACTCAGAGCACTTGCCTAGCATGCACGGAGCCCTGACATCAATCCCCAACATTGCCAAAAAAGGGTGGCTTTCATTATTTGTCATCTTCCTTAATTTTTTGTTTGTTTGTTTGTTTAAGGATCTGTCTGTTAGGATATGAACTCACACTGATCTATTCAGGGAACTAGTGTTAAACTGACAGACAGGAAGAGCGACGACATCAACAGGCAGTGGGAAAAAACACAGAACTGAGTTTCCTAAAAGTCAAAACATTCCTCAAGGAATTTATCATCATCTGAGGGCTTACCAGAGTGAATTGCCTTCTTTAGAGGCCTCTGCGAGGCCTCTGCTTTCAGTCACATTTAAAGAGAGGGTCACTGACAGCAACATACCAAAAGCCAAGGCTAGGGGAATCTGTGTGTGAGTGTGGGATTATGTGGGATTATGGGGGATTGAGCCCAGGGCCTTTGCACTGAGC